AAACTGAGGACACCTAAGGTCCATTTGATTAACCAAGATATTAGTATAGTGCAACACGAAATATTTTAAGAGCCTACCAAATGTGACTTAATTGAGGAGAAAACAACGCTTAGCATGTGCACATCTGTTGCCTAAAACATTTACCAAAATGAGGTTGACGATTTTAAATCATAATTTAAAACTTATTTCCCGTTACTAAAGAGATTTTTATTGTGATTAAATACTAATGACACACTAATGTGTAGCCGGAGGGAAACGTTTTTATCTTAAGGGAAGGCGAAGAGGTTATTCATCTCCCATCACTTTCGTTTAAATCTGATAAAACACTACAGGACCACAAATTATCAAGGTGATGTATAAAGTGAGGGAACAAAAATTATACTGCATATCAAATCTCTCGCCCGCACTTATATATTCCTACATTATAGCCATCCCTCTCTCCTCCTCCAGCTCTCTTCCCTTGTTCATCCTCTCTTTTCTGCTTTTCCACCAGTTTTTCCTCCACCATAAAACGGTTTCTTTGCTACTCAATAATTTGCATAATGGAGGCATATGAAAAAAGCACTAATACAGTTTTAGACCTCAAGAAAATACTTATTTACCTTTTTGATAATGACCAAAAGGGCATTTCCCGTCACATTAACAATAACTTGTCAAGCAAAATGTTGATAAGATGAAACAAAGATGTCAGGCGGAGGATAATCAGTTGGATCAGTGTGACACCAAATTCTCAGAGCTAAACTAACAAGTAATGTATGGCAGGCAGGTAGAAGAGTTTATGGAAAGATCTTGGAAGCCGGAAAGGATTATTGGAGTTTCAGTTAGCATTGAACCCAGCTTTACGAGGTTATGTTGAAGATGATGCTTTTAGAGGAAACATGAAATACGTGTTATTTGTCGACAATCCCCCTAGGCAATTTGTTCAATTTTTTGCAGAGAACTTTCCATGTATAGGAAAGGAAAATCAACCTATTCTGGAAAGGGCGTTCATTGCACAATAAATGACTTTTAAGCTTTTATCATATTCCTGGTTTTGGATTATTTAATGACATTTTTAGTGTTTACATTTTGGAAAGGGCGTTCATTGCACAATAATTGATTTTTAAGCTTTTATCATATTCTAGTTTATTTAATGACATTTTCAGTGTTTACATGTCCTTATCTATAAGCATACCTATCGACCAATGAGAGCGTGCATACCATCTTAAATATTGTTTTTGGCTGATAGGTTATTTCTTGGCCTTGCATGATCTTATAATATATTTTGTGAGGATATGTTTAAGAAAGCCGCTTACGAAAAAACCGTGGCAAAGAAACAACAGAGATACTCTCGAAAGAGCGACATGTCTTAGAAAAATAATCAATTTTTAGTTGTTTCCACTCTGTATTGGATGATTGGGTTTGTTCCTCAAAGGATACCACCTGACCGAGCGTGGATTTCGTGTTGTATAATTGACAATCTCCTCTCTTCAACATGCAGCAAAACGTTTGTTTTTCTCTGGAAAAACATTGACAGTAGCATTGGGGATTTTCTTTGATCGTGAACAAAATTGACCGGTAAGGTTAGTTTTAAAGCACTGCACCGGTATCGGAGGGTTCATGGGCTCAATTCCTGTGCGAACCTAAATCTTTTGTCCAAGCTTTGTCTTCACTATTGCTCAAGTAATGTTCATTACAACGAAGATCGCTATCATCTTTATCAATAAATCCGCAATTCATATATATGATATTCATTTCTTCACAGTCGTTTATGAATCTTTTATCATTAATTACTGCTGGAAGCAGGAAGAGAAAAGATTTCGCAACGTCAAAATTACAGCTCGTCTCACTTCCCTGATCTTCCAGATATAAACAAATGGGTTCAGGGAGGAATTGAGAAAAACCACCGTAGCCATGGACACCAGCCATACTGCATTAGTGGCATCAGGTCCTTTTATAAGTCTTACAGCTGTAACGTAAGAAAATGGCACGTAAAACGATACCATTAAAAGCGAGATCCATAGCAACTTATAGACTGTCTTTTTATACCTTAGCATGTGTCCTGTTTGTTGTCCGATTTCAGCAATCTGCCGCGCACGTCGACGCCGCATAGTGACGAAAATCATGGTGTAGCAGAAAATTGTTAGTATAAGACATATTATCACAATAAATGTCAGAATAACCAAGAAGAAATTATGTTTCCAAAACTGAAACGTACCAATCGCTAAAACTAGCAACCAGGAGAAAACAACAATTCTACGAACACGGGCCGCTGTAACAAAGTGTCGGTATCTCATTCCCAACTGCAAGGCGAGAAATCTGTCCACACTTATCCAAGTCAATGTGCATAGCGAAATGACAGTAAAAACAACACAAGAAAGGTTGGCCACACTTTCAGATGTTTCACAAAGGCTATATTTTTTTTTAAGAATTAAAATAAGATAAACAACGAAACTTGGCTGCGCAATAAGGCCAACGCAGAGGTCCGTCGACGCCAAGGAACGAATCAAAAGCTTAGATGGAAGATGTAGACGAGAATCCTTTTTAAGGGCTACCAAGATCAGAAGATTTCCTAAGATTGCGCTTCCACTAAGAATCACATTCACAACAATAAAAAAGTAGTCAATCCAAGTTTCCCCAAGGTCTTTAAGGATATCGAAGAACAAAGAACACCTTAAGAGTATTTCACCAACTTTAGCATTCTCCATGGAGGGATTATGGTAGGAGTTTGCAGGCAACATGACGAGCAAACTTTCTGATAACTTTAAGCAATCGAGAACGACATGGCAATTTCAAAATGTTCTAAGAGCCACAAATTTAATTTGACAAAAACAGCCACGTGGGTTGCCTCTAGATTTACACTAGATAAGGAATCATATAGTGTAAAACCCATTTTCGAAAAATAATGGATTTTTCTTTTCTCAATATTGCCTTCATTAAAATCTCAAAAAATATAATAAAATAACTCTCGGAGGGAACTGCTTTGGCCCTTGCGGCCAAAAATAAGATAAAAATCGAAGGAAGGGAAAGAGTTAATCAATTTCCCATCTCGGCGAATAATTAGCGACAATTATGATTTGATGTAAAAGACATTTTTATCAATGAAATTTCTGATGCCACCAAATTAATGAAGATGATTATGATTCACGAATGCATAGAATTCGGTCCTCTTACTGATAGTTTTATCAAAGTCTGATTGAATACTACAAAAGCGCCAGTTGTTTTTACTTAACCTCTCAAATATCAGGTGGGAAGATCCAGCAGTTGCCCTTATATCATATAAACTACGTAAAAGTTTGGTTCTCTTCTCTTTAATTTGGAATTGTTCCGAATCATTTAGAACACTGAGTTTTAGCAAGTGCAATTGCAAAAAAAATTCTCGGAAGTTTAAAGGTGGCTGTGAATTCATGTACGGCTGATTTTCACGTTGATAAACTTTTCCGGTCGTGTTTTTATAATCACAAGGGATATCGTTCTCAAATTGCAGCCGTAGAAAGCAAAAAATGGATTCTATTAGATTCAAAATGTCATAAAAATTTAAAGTTGTAAATTTTAGCGTTCCTTGGCAGGTATTACTTTCAAATAAATCATTTTTCTGTAGAGGAAGACTGGGCCTGTATCCCAAATTATATAATCCCAGCATACATTTCCTTATATATAACTGACACTGTCCTAACTGCCTACAAACTGCAGTAAAACGTGTGTTTTTTTAGAACGGAGAACAATTTCTATTATCGTTAGTGACTGCTAGCGGCAAAAAGGAAAGAAAGGCCCGTAATTTATCAATCACAGCTCGTCTCTCTTCCCTGTGCTCCCAAATATAGACACAAGGATTCAGGAAAAAATTGAGAAAAACCCCCGTTTTCACGGGCACCAACCTTACCGTGACTGCTTTAGTTGCCTCGGGTCCGATAATAACTCTTACAGTTACAAAGGGGGAAAATGGTATTGCATCAGTGGCACAGGGTCCTTTTATAAGTCTGACAGCTGTAACGTAAGAAAATGGCGCATAAAACGATACCATTAAAAGTGAGATCCATAGCAACTTATAGACTGTCTTTTTATACCTTAGCATGTTTCCTGTTTGTTGTCCGATTTCAGCAATCTACCTCGCTCGTCGACGACGCATAGTGACAAGAATCATTTAGTAACAGAAGGTACTCTTGAATATGTGCCAATTTCAACTTCACCTGCACCTTGAATAAAAAAAAAGAAGCATCGATATATTTTTTCGTCGTTTGGTAAAGTAACTAAATGCCTCTGAGATACGAAGTTTATATGATAGTTGTCTCCTGTACAACTTCTGAACTGTGTTTCAACACCGTGGCACCCTTTAGGAGACCTTTATTGACCTTAATTGAGCTTAATTGGGGTCTTCTATTGTTTCTATTGTTTCTATTGTTTCATCAGTGACATGTTTTCTTGGAAACAGTGAGTTCTGTGATGAGGTATTGTATATGTTGTCATGAAGGAATCAAACTGTGCAGGTAGTAAAAAATGATTCTTTCCAAACATCAAAGCAGCGTTAGAAATATCTCGAAAATTAGGAAAGGTAATTATAGATCGAGGTCGTGATTGGCATCATTTTAATTATTTTTTTCTGTCATTTTGCGATTTGTGAATAATTAATTGACTGAGATTAAGTTCCCATAGCAAAAAGCATATACAATACGTAACCAAATATTTCCAGCTGTCATAGCAACGATCACCATAGCAACAACACAGTCCCTCAGAGCAGTTGCGGTAGAAAGGAAACCGCTTTTTACTGATTGGTCCGTTTTCTGTCCTATGCAGTTAACGGGTTTTATTTCGTCCCTTTAATTGAAAACATCGTATTGTTTATAGCGACGGTAGGAAATCTCTTGGAGAAATAACATTAAGTTGGCCAGGAAACAAATATGATTTGTAAATACAACTATATTATAAATGAGCTTGAAGCTTTGCACCTCGGCGCACTGTGGCTATCGGTGGTGGCTGTTTGTCGGTGTGGCTGTTTGTCGGTGTCTACTTCAACTGTAGAGATGACTTTATTTGTGAAATCAGAAGGAAATATGGACTGCCGTTTTTCTGGAAGCGAAAGCCCTTGTTTCAACAATGGTGGTGAGTTTTTGGTCTGTGTGGTTGCGTGCTGTCCCAATGAGGATTTCCTATGAGCAAACTTGCAATACTAAAAATCTTTTCTTTTTTATGATGATTTGATGTATGATGATTTAATAACTTTGACTCGCACAAATCAACTGAACTGTCGAATTTCCTTTTGGCTTATGAAGTATATTTGACAGGATCTACATATGTTTACTAAAAAAATATTGAATTCAAGAGCACCCACTGATTTTAACTGAAATTACTGCTTCAATGCTTTAGACAACGTTTCACCGAAATTCACGTAAGCATAAGCCGATAGAGGGAAATAATTTTACGGAAATGCCAGTTGTCTTCAAAGTACCACTTGTCATCCTCTTCAGCCTAAGGTCTCTGTTTTCTTCTCCTACGTAATTGGCTAGAAGACTGTATATTCATTTTTTTTTTCTGATAACCCCTTCTTTACTTTTGTTCTTGACAGTTTTACTTGATAAACTCTGGAAAACAAGCAAGCTCTTCAAGTTTCTTCTGGACCATCTCTCGCTGCAGCGGTACCAGTCGATCATTTCATGGGAAGGAGCCGATGGAGAATTCGTGATCCGTCGACCGGACCAAGTGGCTCTTTTGTGGGGAGAAAGAAATTGCAGACCAAACATGACTTATCAAAAATTCAGCCGTGCAATGCGTTATTACTACCACAAGAAAGTACTGACCAAAATTCGCGGTCGAAAGTACGCCTACAAGTTTAACTTCAAAGAGCTTGAGGTACAGTACGGTTACTACAGAAGTAAACCGTATCCTGCTTCTAAGAGTCACACAGAAAGCTATGCTATTCCATCCAGTTATGACGCCTTTCACTATTCAGACTCCATTAACAATTTTCCTGCAGCAATGGGGTTCATTAGTAACAGCAGTTACGGTTATCCCGCCACAATGGAGTTCGCAAGTAATGGTAGGTACGAGATTCCTGCCAATACTCATGGTTTCCAGTTCTTTAAAAACGACGTACGTTTTCAAAATGCAGAGATGTGAGAGAATCCGAAGCTTCATCAGAAAACGTTCTCTCTACTGGTAGACATTAACAGATAAAGAGAGTCTTCTTTTTACAAACTCTTCGGCAATTCATGTTGAGACTCTGCCAGGAGATAATTTGTTCTTCGATGGTCATTGCTGGCTTCAACTTGGAACACAGCTGACGATTATGTTTATTAAATCATAAGAATATCATCTGATAAATTGTTAAGGTAACGACATTTATTTACTCTGACCTATTCAAATGTGATAAAGATGTCACGGAGGAAAAAACATGTCTAAAGAAAGAATTGGTAATTAATTTTGGATTAAACAATCGGAATGCACATAATGCTTCCAGTAGATCTTGTCACTTATGTATATCAAGATAATTACACTACCATTATTTTGGTATAGGTGGGAAAAAGTTTCTTAATCACAAGGGCGAGGAGTGTATCACAATTTAAATTAATATTATTACATGAATAGATGAATACAATAAACCATATTATCATGTAACTATGGTGTTTTACAGGATTTCAAACCCTGAGAAAAAGTCGCAACTAAACGCATGTAAGATTATGTTTATTTTTTTACATGCGTTTAATATTGTCAATCAGCCACTAACACCTAAGTCGCCTTTAATTTCGCACCACTCTGTCATGTTCAGTGATGAATGAATGGCAAAGCGTTCACCATTCTCAATCCAAGGTCCCTAGTCGAAATTTTCTCGGATTAGGGCTGCTAACAACACTGAATGATTCGTATCGTCCACCGACAGCGACGTTCAAAATCTTCCAGAAGCGGAGGAAGGTCAAAACAAAAAAGAAAACCGAAAGTGACTTGTCACAGGTAATGTCATTATTTCCATTCACTCATTAATGCAGTCGATGTTTTTGTCAGGAAAAAGGCCTATGGTGTTAATATAATATACAAATGATACATATAGAATGTCTCCTCTCGTTTTCAACTCGACAACTGCAGCTAGAGAGTGAGCTGCGCTCACTCTTGAGATATTGAGGTGAACAAGAAGAGAAAATCCAAATTCGTAGGCCCATGTGTTATTCTCTATTTACCAACTTCAATTGAACCTCTTCGGTTTGAACACAGACGGAACAGAACAAAGCGTCAGTACTACAGGAGGAGGGCATTGGGGTCTATTAAAAACCGCAAAACCGTAGAAAAAAAATCATACAAAACCGCGAAACCGTAAAAAAAAAATTGCTCAAAACCGATAACCGCATGCAAAACCATCAAAACCAATAAAGTTTCACATTCCAGTTACCCAAACCCTAATCGATCCAATACAGAGGTGAAAAGTGGAGCAAAAAGAGATTTTCGCAGCTATGAGAGATCTGTGGAGGCGAAAAACTGCCGCTCAGATCGAAGAAAAACCGAAAAACAAAAAAGGAAAAACCGAAAACCACATCGAATATCAAATCCGAAAAACAAATGCTAAAAAGTGGAAAATCTGCAAACCGCAATTAACACTTAAACCCCAAAACCGAAAAACCGATCTAAAAGATTTTCCAAAACCGTAAATTGAAAATTCTAATGCCCCCTCTTACAGAGGTGACTGTTTGATAAAGGTCAATATGACACCTTCGATTATGTTCGTTTAACTGCAAACAGGAAATGTTGTAACATATACCAAAGCTTACCAAGTGATCACCAGAGTGTCTGTCGTTAAGGTTAAGTTAAGGTTAAGTTTATACCGTATTTTCTCTCTATGATCGGGAGTAACAGTTCGTTGTCGGTTTATATCGAAGTGACTTGCGATCAAGTCCCCGTTATGAGCGGTACTATACGGCTATACGGTGCGAGAAGAGTTTTTTTTTTTTTTAAACTCTTGGGCACGAGTGTTTCATTGACCGCGAGAAAGTTGGAGGCCTTTAGGGAAGCGTGAGGTCTGTAAAGGGTCTGGGACTGATAAGAGGGTCATACCATTTGCAGACCTACCGCTGGCTCATTTTTCTCGAGGACAAAGAAATAATCATGCCGTAGTGCTATTGATGAGCGAATGCTTGTGTAATTGTGGGATAGTATGGACTTAGAGAGATTTGCTTGTGTTATGGAGGAATCTGTAAGGAGAGGTGCAACTGTATGATTTTAAATAACTTATTTCAGGTTTCCTAATTCAATTATAAAAGAATGCAAGGGCTCTTAGTCTTTACCCTCCAGGCTAAATTTTTACCGACAAACAAGCAAAGAGCGGAAATTATGTAATCGTGGATCTGAATTCTAATTAAACATGCTGAAATAATACAATTAAAATTTTTGCTTAAAATTGTTCGGGGTGAGTATATAGCCTTTCGAGACAACTCTTTCTATCTCAAGTTCAACTTCAGCTAATTTCTGTTTTCGAGTGAAAATGATCGTTTCTAGGTCACCTTTGGTTTGTCCGCTGGATTCCTCCCAATTCTTTGTTAAAAATCGTGCGGTTTTTTTTACCATGATAATTACAAAATGAAAGCCTGCGGATGCAAAATGCGAAATGATTAGATTGATCGCAAATAAACAAGAGTTGAGACCATTTAAAGAAACAAGACAGCCCGAGATGGCGAAAACTAAGCTGCTTTTTTTTCAAATCAAAGGAAAATATCTCAGTAATCATTCAACTGATCTCTCTTTGGGAGTGCATTGTGAGTGATGAATTTGGATCTTGCTATTAAGCACCGAATGTTACTGTGCCGAAGCCCTAATCAGATACACAGCTCACTCAAGTTTTGCGCTCGTTATCGCGAAATTTCGTTACAAATAACAAATCTCATTTGAACACCAGGAGGGGTTTGCAAATTCCCAACATTTATGCAAACCCTTAAGTGTTGCTCGGGTTCTGTTTGAAGACTTTCGAGAATCCTCCGCACCACACGGGTGCTTCGATGACCTAAGTAACGTAAAATTGAAGATATACTCCAGTATCTTTGAATACATTCTTTTAAAAATAACTCAAATCCTCCGCATCACACGGGTGCTTCGATGACCTAAGTAACGTAAAATTGAAGATATACTCCAGTATCTTTGAATACATTCTTTTAAAAATAACTCAAATCTGAAATGTGGTCATTGTGTTTACATGCTCTCATTTCACTTCACCAATCAACCTATGAGAACGAGCCTAAAAATTTTAGATTTGTCATATAAATACTGAATATCTCGTTTTAATACAATGGATGGACTGCAAGTCAATTTATATAAGTATTACTATATTGTAAATGGACACTTGGTCTGAACACTATTACTGACCTTTTAACATAACCTCTTGGGCTCAGCCACCGATATAGATACTTTTGGCTGAGTTTTGAGTTACACGCCTGGCTACATCGAAAGTTGGCAAACGAGCAAACAAACAAGACCCTATTATTCTCGGCCAATCACACTCCATAAGGGGGTAACTACATAAGAGCCACATTGGATACATCTAATCATCTGCTTGACCTAGCACGTTTGTGGACAGTTGGCTCCCGACTTCTCCTAGTGCTGATCGTAATCACTTGCTTTAAAGGTAGGATCAGGGATGCTATTAATTCGTTTTGCCGAGCCCTAGATTAATTCAGTTCTTTGCAATTGCGTGGCCAATATTTAGCAGCTGCATACTTCATAAGGTCTATCGGTCAACATGGGTCAAAAGGGGTATTAAGATCGAAAGAGAGTTAGTGGCAGAGCTGAGAAAGGTTAAACGTAAACGTAAGTTAAAAGAGCTACATGAACAGAAGTCTAAAGACCAAAAGAGACTTGGTGGCAGAGCTGGGAGGTTTCGGACTTAAGGTGTATGGGCACGCAAACGTTCTCCGTGCTACCTGGGGAAGAAAACTTAGACTTGAAGCTTTTGCGCCATGATATTTTTAACCATGTAACCTCTATACCTCCTGATTTGGTCCAGTTCGTCATCTCAGTAAAAACTTTTACAATTCTCGTTCGGACTTTTTTTGTTTGCAGGTATTTGCTACAAAATTGTAGCGAGATTGAAATAATATTGATTACGTAATATTTACGTTGTTGTCGCTAATTATAAAACTATATACGGCAAGAGGTCGAGACCTATTTATCAAAATTATGTAGAAAATGTCTGTCGAAAGTCACACGTGATTGTCGAACGTGATTGTCGCACGTGAGTGTCGCACATGCGATCGTAGCCATGAATGATTAGACTACTTGATTACGTAATATTGCCGCTATTGACGCACGAGATTGTAAACACTATTTATTCTCTTGGTTAACGTTATTATTTAAGCACAAAGGGTAAGACCTAAAGCCGAGCTGTCAACTATATGCAAATGTATTTCGAATGTCACACGCGGCACGTGTCTGTTGCACGCGCATGAATGGAGGAGGTAGACTTTGCACTCTGAAAATCTACGCGATCGGGAGCGTCCGGATGGTTCACCTTAGACTTAATGAAAAATTTATATCAATTCAGAAAACTTCCCTTTTTCGCATTAACCAAATATTTTTTTTAGGTATGTGGAATAAATTGATGGCTGACATGCAGTTTCCTTCTACACCTATTTTTAAATCTTATTAAAAACCAAAGGAAAACTGGAGGGAGCTTGCTTATGAAGCTGAGAAAAACCATGCCAAACCAGCACCTCGATTAAGTTCTGTAAAATAAGCTTCACTGAAACTTAAATTTGACTTCCGTTTTGATTTGTCAGGAAATATGTCTCAGATGACTTCGATGAGGTATTTCCTCAAGCCACGGTACCTTGCACGTGTACCAAGACGACTCGAGTCTCAGTTACAACGGCAAGATCCCATCTCCACTCGACTCAAGCCTAAAGAGAAACTTAACATTCTCTTTTTCTCAAACAAGCACAACAGCCTCAGTCAAAGGATGGCTCTGGAACTAAGACAGAGACAACACAACATCACCGTGCATGAGATCAACGAGCCTGCAGAGATGACAAAATTAGCTTTTGATGCCCAACCCGATCTCATTCTTTGTCCATTTCTCACCAAACGAATTCCAGAAGAAGTGTTTTCTAATCCCAACATTCCTTGTTGGATTGTTCATCCTGGAATCGAGGGCGACCGTGGCATGAGTTCTATTGACTGGGCGTTGTATGACATGGAGGACGAGTGGGGAGTAAGCGTCCTTCAGGCGGCCTCAGAGATGGACGCAGGCGATATTTGGAGCACCAAAACCTTCCCTGTCAGGCGCCCAAATGTCAACACACTCACCAAGTCGAGCTTGTATGTGAATGAAGTCACACAAACAGCCGTGAAAGCTACTTTGGAAGCCATAACTAACCTCTTATCGGGGCAGACACCCAGACCACTTAATTACAACAATCCACAAGTGAGGGGAACCTGCCGCCCTAACATGACCAAGGCTGACCGAACTGTGAACTGGGAATTGCCAGCTGACGAGGTAGCCTGTCAGATTCGCATGTCTGACTCAGCACCAGGAGCAGTCGGTCGCTTTAGAGCGAAAGGAGGAGATGGCAATTGGAACTGGACCAAGGACTTTCGCCTCTTTGGAGCACATCTGGAGAAAGGAAGACTTAGATTCCTGACAGGAAAACCTGGTGAAATATTGGGCCAACGCCATGGATCTGTTTTAATCAAGTGCGGCAGGGGGGCTTTATGGGTTTCACATCTCAAGAAAAACAAACTTAAACTCCCCGCCACCATGTGGCTAAAAACTGGTGCCCCAACCGTAGCAGACTCCTTTCCATCCATCCCATACGGGTCCTATCCTAACACAGCTCAGGATATCTGGACAAGTATGACGCCTGACGGCGTCTGCTTTGTACACTTCGAGTTCTACAACGGAGCTATGAGCACCAGCCAATGTCAGCGTCTGGTTTCCGTTCTGCAAAAGGTGGAGGAGAATGACTTTTGCAAGGTAATGGTTCTGATGGGTGGCCGAGACGTGTTCAGCAATGGTATCCACCTTAATGTTATCGAAGCAGCCGAAGACCCAGTTGAGGAATCATGGAAGAACATCAATGCAATCAACGATGTCGTGCGTGGCATCTTCACCAGCAAAAAGATCACCGTCTCGGCCTTACGTGGAAACGCTGGTGCTGGTGGAGCCATGATGGCTTTGGCTAGCGACTTCGCCTTTGCACGTGATGGGGTGGTGCTGAATCCTCACTATAAGCTAATGAAGCTTTATGGTTCAGAATATCACACATACTTTCTGCCAAAGCGTGTGGGTCAAAAAAAGGCGAGTGAGTTATTGTCCAGTGCTGAACCCATCCTGGCCTCTGAAGCCGCTCAAATTGGTTTTCTGGATGGTTGTGTAGGAGACAGCGTCGAAGAATTTGACATGTGGATTAAAGAAGAAGCAATGTACCTTGCAAGACCGTCTTTGCAGCAACATTTTTCCCAAGTAAAGAATCAAAAAGCAAACCCGGAAGTCTTGAAGGAAATTGAGGAATGCCGCTCAGGTGAACTGGCATTCATGGCTAGAAACTTTCAGGATCCTGAGTACCACATGGCCAGAAAATACTTTGTTTATCACTAAGCCAGGCAGTGTGATGTTAATCTGCAGAGTCAAAAGCTTTGCTTCTTTTTCTTACTGTGTGTACTAAGGTCACTAAGACATAACGCTGAACAATTACGGGAGCTGAAAGTTCCGTTCGCTTTTTTTTTCTTAAATCCCTGGGTTTTAGTAGACATTTTCACAGCAGTTCATTTACGCTTAGATAAAAGAATCATTTAAATAGAAGTCAAACGGTTATACTCAGAATGCTTAGAGTCGTAGTTATTTAGATTGCGCTAAGGAGAATGGAGTGGATTCCTCGTGAAAAGGAGGATCAATTAAAAACTGTTACAACCAAAAGTGAGACTGTCGAGGTTTTCTTTCATTTTAAAAAACGTGAAGAGACAACAAAAAATAAAAACTAACCGTGAAAAAGAAAAAGTGGAAGCTATTACAGATAACCAGATAACTTCAGGTTTAAATAAATCCATTTCATTGAAAATTACTTTTTTTCTCAAAAAGCCTTTTTAAAATAGTTCGTATTACATCAAAAAAGTTGAATCAAATGTGAAGTCTTTCCATATTAATGTTTATTCCTGTAAAGCGTTTTCTTTTCGGGATTTTCCCAGACTCGTTTGTTTGATTGAGACTGACGTCATGGTGGTGGTCTCCAGGAAGCTTCGTCAGCTTCTTTCCACTCTATGTAAGCTTGCCTGAAAGGGAAGATTTCTGCAGGCAAATGAAAATAAAGCACGGAACAAGTTTGTCGAAAGTCGTCTAAACACGCCCGTAGAACTAATGGCCTGTTGAGAGAGTATGTTTTTATATCTAAGACAAATGTTTGATTTTTCCTTCCTCTCCTCACCATCTTTGCCAGATCGACTTCACAAACCAGGAAACCAACTGTAAAAAGCAGTCACAACGCAGTTAAAAACCAGTATGGTTGAGATCGTAGAACGCCAGGTCGAGATGGTGATGTAGCTTTGAATCTTCAGAAGATGTTCTATTAGAAAACAAACAAGTAATAACTAAAATAAATCATAACTTGATTTGGCCATTTCTTGCGGATCATGCAGGAATATTTGTGGGGGAATTCACAAAGTTCTTGGGAGTATTTCTCATAAGGCTTTCTGCTTATTGAGTACATATTCTTTGTAAAACTTGATGATAACTTTTACCCTCAAAAACGTACTCGAGCGCAGGTTCCAGAGGTTTACAGCTGCTTTTTATCACTTTCCATGACCAGTCTTCTGACCGTTTCGTTTCCCTCCATACCCTCTCGGCCAACCGTTTCGATCCAATGCATATTTTCTCAGCTAACCGGGAAGCACTTTCCTTTGAGACACTGTCCAACCATTCAATCTGATCCTTTATCCATTCCATTTCGTTCCAAGTCATTCTTGACTATCAATTCAATTTCAACTTCCTGTACGCAATTTCAGCCTTTTTCGCCTTTTAGGATTAATCGACGTGCTCTCAGCCAATGGGCATGCTTGAAATTGCATATGCATTGTGAGGGGGATTAGTTAGCCAATTCATTGGCAAGGTGTCATTCCTGTATAAACTATGGATAACCGAAAGCTCAGTGCAGAGTTCGTGCTTCTGCCGTTCCAAACTTGATTGCAATAGGTTCGACTTGTGCACGACAGAAACACGACTCTGATTCAGACGTCGGGTAGCGCCACTCAACATGTTGCGCCATCCGACTCTGGGGCGATGTCGGATTATGAGTCAAAAGTTATTACAGCACTGTGACTGAATAATTTCCACACCGCACTTATTCTGAGGCAAAGGCAATGAAACTAAACAAAAAGCAGGTCTCAGTATTTTGGCCTGGGTACAATACAAAGTTTCCAGTAAACGGGCATATCTGGGTGAGAAAGTGGACATTCCTTGCCAGACAAAAAAAAAAAAAAAAAAAAAAAAAAAAAAAAAAAAAAAGGCAACAGATAAGTGGGGGGTGGGGCGGGGAGATAAGGAACCGTTGTTTACCACTATTGGAACTTTATTAAAGAGCTATGGCTTCAGTGTTATTTACAGCACACTAATTAGGAGCCTACTAAATTTAATGGATCCTGATAATTTTTTTCAATTAATTTTATAGGCATTGCTAATAATATCGGTAGCTCCGTCTACACCTACAAAATGAAGTTTGAGCCTAAAAATCTAGAAGACTTACAAAAGAGGTCTTTGTTTCCTTTATAATACAACTAGCCTTATTTGCAGTATTCCACTGGAGGAACTGCTAGTGGTCAACATTATGCCCTTAATTTGAAAGTGAGTGATTTAAATGAATTCATAACTAGGAAAAATGGATTCTAATCGAATTACAATAGTTTAAAATTGCATTTGCAGCCCTTAACATTACGTTTGCAGCCTAATTTCTTCCTAAATGAGTCGAGTAGTAAGGAAAAGCAAGAGGGAATTAATGCTAGTAGGATAGATGTTTGTGCCATTTTTGCCCCTCAATTGTTTGCTGCCATCTTATGCTTTTCAATCCCTTTAACTCTCAAGATCAGATTGTTAATTCTCTTCTCTGGCAGCTAAACATTTCCAGGTTAGTAAGTTACAAGAATTTAGTTTTAGATCAGGATAAAAAGTTCTACCTAATAAGTGCGAGTTTCCTCATTACCTGTTCGAAGGATAATGTATGGAAATTATAGGGAGAAGTTATATTTTAATCACTTTTGGGAGTTAAAGGGTTGAAGCTGACTACCACAAAATCAATGAAGAAGACTGATCTTTCTTCCGTACTAAAGCCTGAGTTTAATCTCCATAGGGGATTCAAACCCTACCCTGTTCAGAATCCATGGTCAGTTGCCCCACAAACTAAGAATTTATGATACAAATGTTACTAGGTTTTCTTAAAGCTGATTTCAATACCCTTTTGACATTGTTATGGAGTTATAAGAGTCCAACAAAAATACTAAAATATTCATCTTTAAAAGAATGAAAGTAGCAAATGTATTAGTATATAAGGAAAGCAAAATAAAACATTTAGACAAAGAAATGCAACATTTCTCTTGTTATGACAATTTTTATACCACAATTATAAATTTAGTACCTTATGCACGTGTCTAAAGGAAAAAAAGAAACATTACAACTATTCCATGAGGAAGTGCTCCCTTCTCAGTGCAATTAAATAACTTATTTGGCCTTATCAAACTCTAAAAAGGTAATTCACGTGAAGTTTTTTTGCTACTAGTCTGTTGTAAACTCAGCTTGTTGATGCTCTTTTTACTGGAAGTCTTGCATCTGTGCAGTAAAAAAGAAGAGAAGATTTGTGGATAATTTTCAGTCACACACCATTCTTACTTCCGTATCATTTGATCCTCAGTATCACCTCGTCCCTACCAAAAAGAAAATAAACACATGCAGCACTGAGGCAAGACTGTAGTACTTAACAACAATATACAGTGTGCTGTTCTTTTCTCTGTCCTATGCTGATGAAAAGATGGAAATAAACATCTTTCTCTATTTCATCATTGAGCTCAAAATTTACCATCTTCCTTAATCCATTTACGCACATGACACTTTCAACATTGCTGAACTTCTCACTACACAGGAGGTGTGTCGCATAGGAACCTAGTAAAAGCCAAGCTCACCAGAGTCTCAATGGCTCAGTGATAGAGCATCAGAGCATGGAACCCGATGGTCTGAGGTTTGACTTCTGGACAATTAAAATATTTCTTTACCCTATGCTTTTGACCAGACGAAATAAATTCCTTATGTATAACAATCTATCCCATTAACTCCTATGAGTGACCAAGACAGAATTTCTCCTTACAATATCAAAGCAATATAAACCAGAGAAGTGATGAGAATAAAGAAAAAAATATCAAATTGGGCATAATTAGTTGATCCAATACTAAATTCTCCGATCTAACATTATAAGAATTGTATGGGTGACAATAAGGAGAATGACAAATTTGATCTGGGAGTTAAGGGGCTACAGTTGCATTTTGTGGTCAGTGCACTGGACTCTAGGTTGGGAGGTCTGTGTTCAAGACCTGGCCATGTCAACTGTGTTGTGTTCTTTGGCAAAACACTACACTCTCACGGTACCTCTCTCCATCCAGGAGTATAAATGGGTACTGGAAAATTGTCAGGGAAGCCTGATAAAACACAGGCGAGTTACTTTGTGATGGACTGGCATCCCTTCCACAGGGGAGTAGTAATAATCCTAGTTACTTTATACTACTTGGAAACTGGGATAAGCCCCAGCTGAATGGGTTAATAGGCTCCTGTACAGACCTTACCTTTTACATTCACATTTCTCTATTCCAACACAACTATCATAATATATTAACCTTAAATTCTTTAAACTGTTCCAAGAGCCCTAAATCAGAAAAAGGTAAAGAAGTCTTACCATGCGTCTTCTAACATCATATTTACCAAGGGCATCCCGTGACCTTGGTAGGCTGACACTTAGCCTTGAGTTATCAACTGGGAGTTGTTTTCTATCCATCTAACAAAAACAGAGAATGATTGTAGACATCTGTTAAACATCTGTCCTTATAATTATCATTATAATTATTACTGGAATATTTCTGATACTTTGAAATAATGTCAAGCCTTTCATTAACCTTTCCCCTCCCAATATCCTTAATCTCACTTCTCCACACGTCTTTAATTATTTCTTTTGGATTTTAGCTTTGAGAAACTTGTCTCAATAAACTAATATACGTTATACATAGCTTTTGATATTGTTTCAGAAAACAAAAGAAAACAAGTGCAGTAGAGAAGACTGTTGTAAAATTTTTATGAGAAAACAGTACTGGCAGTACTTACATTTGACATAGCATCTCTTGGTAGGCCTCTCATGTCTTTAAAACTGTCTGGAGGATTCATCATTTTCATCTGAAGATTATCTCTGGAGAGTGGTTGCTGTTTGTTTTCAGTTTCCTCTCCTTCGTCCTTTTGTGGGTCATCTACATCCTTGTCAGACTCATCATCTTCATTACCTAAGTTCTCATTCTCTTCACCATTTTCATCCTCTTCACCATTTTCATCCTCTTGATCTCTCACACGTTCATTCTTATCTTTTCCTTTCATATCCTTCTCCTCACTGCTGGTAGGAGTTATTTGTCCCTGTCCATTGTCCATAACTTTCTTTTCATTCTCCTCCTGGTTGTTCCTTTCATTGTTAGCTTCATCCTCATTTCCTTGTTGACTGTTCTTGTCACTAACAGAACTCTTTTCAGGTGGCTGTTGGGCACCTCCATTATCTTTAGTCACCACTTTCTCATCTACATCTGATCCCCCAGTGATATCCTGTTTCAATTTATCCAAAATTCCAATGCTTCTTTTCGTTGGAGAACTAGCAACTTCTTCACTTTGAGACTTATCTCCAATCGACTTTATATTCTTTACATCTGAAACATTTGCTGCTGAGGAGGAATTCGCAATCCCAGCTCCTTCCATGTTTGTCTCTGATGTGCTTGGTACAGGTTTCTTTGGTTCATCTGTTTTTTTCTCATCTCTGTCATTGTCCTCATTTTCAGTTGGTTCCTTATTTCCTTCATTATTGGGTTTTGTGGGGACCTTATTGACTGATGGTGAAAGAAAAACACAATACACCTATTTATAGTACTTGGTAATTGAACTGAGTGGAGTGCAATTTGGTCTGAAATCATAACTGTGATTTCAAGATCAAATGAGCACCCAGCACAAGTTTGATATGAAATCATAAGTATGATTTCAGGCCAAAATTACACAAAGTTCAATTACCACTGTTCTACATCCATTTTTAAATAACAAATTTGAGTCCCTCAAATACAGGATTTTTTAGTCCATGTACACATTTATTTGATCTAGTACTAAGCTAGTTTGTAAAACAATGCAAAAGTTGTCTTGTTTGTCGTGTCTCAGTAAAGCTTTTTCATTGGCTGGGGAAAAGATGGAGTTTGGAGAAAAAAATAAATGTAATTCATGAATAAATCCCACCAATGAGAGCCAATAAGATTGCAAAGATCATCAGTGATTTCAACATGGATGCTATATAAAGAAATACTTGCATGGAATGAAATAAATCATACTTAGTAAGAAGTACAAAGGAAATTTCACACGAAACAGTTCTGAAAATTTTAAAGGCATGACGTGTTAAACATGATCAGGAGCACTGTAGGCACCAACATATTTGACAGCAACAAAGTCATCTTAGGAGAATGGCAGTGGATAGATATACTATGAAGATACACTGTATGTTGGCAAAAAGAAGTAATTGTGTTGACTTATTTTTTTACCTGCTCTATTCTTTAAGTCTTCAAGTTCTGTCTTGACATTTGCTAATTCCTTCTGGTAAAAATCCCTTTAATAAAAAGTGCAATTCAGATGTCAACTGATGGCATGTGCACTTACGGCTGTAACTTGAAGATTCGAGAGAGTTTAAACAACAGTGGTTGCTGATGGTAGGAAACTCAAGGGGGAATTTTTTTTTTAAGAAAAACCAAATAACTGAAGGATATAAAACCTTCCATGCATATAATACTTTGACTTTGGCAACCTATACCAAGTCTCATACATGTAAGTCATATACAATTAATTGTTTTGAGGGAAACATAATTTATTAGATGATAATGTTGCTGAAAATAAAATCGAGTAATATATGAAACACATCCTAAATGTCACTGGTATTCATGTAATGAAAAGAAATTCACCTCTGAGATGTCACCTTAGAAATCTGTTGGAGAAGTGCAGAGTGATTAACCTTAATATCTTGATAACTTTTCAACAGCTGATCAGCCTTTCCTGTCATGAAAAAAAAGTTTTTATTTGAAGCAGCAACACAACTGTGGATATACATTGCATGACAGCATTAAGTATCACTAACCTTTTAATGTTTTGAGACCTGAAGATGAGCTGTTTACTCCTTTTTTCAGTTTCTCTAACTCCATTAGGTAATTTTGCTTTGAAAACAAAAACAAAAAATAGGAAGTCAAAGACTTAATGTGGCTACTGGTATAGCATAATTTTTATTATGAAAAGTACTAGAGGTTGCATAAGGTAGTGTTGCAGAATATTAGTCTCACATGCTAAATGGAAAATCTGCCACATTCCACATATTTATGAGTACCCTGTTCCACAAGAGAAACATAACTCTGTAATGTCTAATTGACATTCAATCAATAATTAACAGTAACAAATAATAATATTCATAATAACAATAATGATAATAAAAAAGGGGCTAGCTGGAAAGCCTCATGGTTCTCCAGTCCTCTCGGTTTCAACAAAGATAAACCTATGCTTTTTTTAATTTCATCTATTAATTATAAATAATTTTCTTAACTTATTGCAATTCCATTTTATGAGACTTTGGTTTGATACAAAGAGGCATTCTTTGGCATTTTAGGATAATCCATCAATCCATCATTCCTCCATTCCATCATTCTATTGAATAACTCAAGTTACATGTATCCTTGCTTGCTGGATAAATTTAGCAGCTATTTTTGGCAAAAGTTGCCGATTCATACAGAAAAATGCTCTCTTTTCAATGAAAAGAAATTTCTCAAAGCTTCCTTGATGTGTAGGTCACATCTATTGAGATACTTGTGCAAGGAAAAGTTTTGATTTAAATTATGCATCGCTGAATGCCACTTTGGAATTATATTGAGATGTTTATCCTCTTTTGTAGAGTCATTGAAAGAACTGTAGAGATTATCCCTTCAGATCTACATAATTCACTGATTTAAACAGCAAAATGTTCTCTCTTCAGAGAAAAAAAAAATTCCTCTAAGTTTCTGGATGCACCAATTACACCTGCAAGGTAAAACTTTTGGTTTCAATCATGTGCAATCCTTAAATGATTGTGAGATGTTAATCATCTTCTGCTGTTTTCTGGAGTGTCACAGCAAGAACTGAAAACATAATGGGCTAGTGGCTATGAGTCAGAAATCACAAAAGGAGAGAATTCAACGGTTTAACAAGTGGGAATGTCGAACTATATGCATTGCATCAAGATACTCCAAGCCAATCATAACTTATAATTAGCATGCACACATCTCAACAATTGATGGTAAAGGTAGAAATACATGTAGGTGCATAGAGAAAAACTTAACTGAAACACGGTTGATCAGTGGAGAGTGACATGACTTGTATTATCGAGCATACAAATTAACATAACCAGCGACACGTTCTCGGCTGCAAAAAGTAGGTTGCTTAGCTACTGTCAAAATTATTGAGGTCTTTCGTAGCGAACTGGAAGAAGCCAGCACGCGAATATGTTGAAAGAATTCGGATGTGAAAAGTATCTATACATATAAAAGTACACACGAAGATAAGTTTCGTTAAAGAAAAAAAACGTCTCCAATGTGCCAATCGTATGCGGATAATATATGCACACATTTCACCAATGGAGTTTACGTTTTGAAACATTCTACCAACCTCTTGCTGTCGAACTTTTGATAACTCAACCTCTTTCTTTTGCAAAGATTCTGATAACTCAGCATTTCTGTCGTCTTTGGAGGTGATAACCTTATCTTTTTGCTCTTTGTCTTCTTGCAATTGAGTGATTTGGGTTAGTAGAGCAGAACCTTTTTTGTCTGCTGTCAGCTTTCGAGCCGCTAAGACACGTAACCGGTCTTGTAAGACGCTAACATCTCTAAGTAACTTATTATTTTTTGAAGAAACACCCCAGTAGCTGTAGAAGAGTATTATAACGATGACTACTAGCCCGACTAGGATGAAAGATGGACCTCTGCCCGGTCTAAATACTAGGCCATTGGACGCCATGATGAAAGCTGCCTAGAGAACTTACCCAGAGTTCTGTGCGACCATAAGAGGGCTTGATTGTATAATTACGGGTCTCAACAAAATAATTATTCAAATATATTGTACAACCTTATTATTAAGCCTCTCTTTTCTTTTTTTTTTTCCTCACAAGCATATGAATTGGCATTGCTGCGGTTAAAACGCCTCATAAGTTATATTAAGTGCTTGCACTTAACATAAGGTTTTCCCGCTTTGAACAGCTGGCCAAAATTGGCCACGCCCTAACTTAAGTGTTTTGAGTAATATTTTGTCTCGACTTCAAGAGCATGTATCAGACTTCATTGATAAAAAAAAAGCAGTGAGAGAGTTTGTATAGGACCACATGATCGAAAAGCAATATCAGCTTTGTTTTGTCAACTTTCGCAAAAAAATTAGAATTAGAAAATTATTCATTTGCTCTTAATTGTCACCACTAAGAAAACTAAAAACACGGAAAAACATGAAGCCGGGTTCATTTTCAAGATTGACGAGCCATGTGATTTTTGCTTGACAAAGTTTGAACAGATGTCGATTCATAGAATGGTGAAGATTCTTAGGTTACGTAAACTTTCTCTGTATGCCACTGATAGAGTTGCTTTGTTGTTGTTTGGATGTGATAATGTATTGCTGTTATCTAATTATTATTCAATAATTATTCTTACTAAGGACTGAAAAGGAATTATGTCAGAAAGATATGACTGTTTGCATATCAGGTCGTTCAAACACGGACTGTAAATTGCGTTCATTAAACTATGTTTGATGTAACAATGAAGAACAAGTGCCGAGACTAATCAAATGTTGTTAAACTGCACGAAAAATAAAAAAACAGCTCTTAATTCATACTATTCAACTTTCGCAGCCATTGCGTAGTCTCGTCTCGCAATGTTGTCTCTTCCCGGTGGAGATGAGAAAGTGCTAAGTGACAAGACAAAAGTACGGCTGCGAAGGAGACTGAACATAAACAACTAAAACACTAGCAATAACTTAGAGGGTAGTTCGGTTGCTAAGTAGTGTAGAAGTACAAATCAATTCGTGACGATCGAAAAATATCTTTCACTCGTTTTGCTTCCTACGTTACTTAAAATGAAAAGCATATAACTATAGCATAGGCTATATGCTTCTAGTCAATATATCACAATAAAATGGCGTCCCCATCTTAATAACTTGCCTCACGCAAAACTACAGAAATTGTAATAAGTACGAGATATCATGTGGAATTTTCGATGTGGTTTCTTACTCTGTTTTCATACTTGTCACAAAATTAAAGATGATTCAACTTTGCAGCAGCAGTCAGCAGCAGTCAATGCGTCGTACAGGCACATTCAGTTTTTAAATTAATACGAATTGGTTTTTCATACAAACCTCCTTCTTCTGCGCGCTATCCAGTAGCCTCTGTTTTATTTCTAGTTCTTCCCTGAGAGCAGAAGCTTTTTCAAAGGCTGTTCTTTCGTTTCCTCTTCTCCTTTCCTTTTCCTTACTCAAATCTTTCTCTAACACGTGTTTTTGATTTTCGATATAAAACACTTTGCTCTCTAGTGCCGTGCGGCGTTGGTCTACCATCAACTTACTGCTTCGAATGACGTTCATTTCTCGCAGAAGCGTTTGATTTGTGGCGGTGAGTGTCCATAAATAGTAGGCCAAAACAATGATCGTTAAAACAAGCACAGTTAACAAGATTGGTGGGGCACGTGAGCGGGAATAAAAGGAACTTTTCGTCGTTAGTTTTTCGGCATGAGAAGACACACAGGGCTTGCACTGTAAGTATCCCGGAGAGCTCCATACAATTCCTTATAATAAAATTATAAGGAATTGTATGGAGCTTTTTTAGCGTTAGTCGAGGCGTGGAGGGTGTTGTCACGTACGATCCTTGCGAGGTGTTTTTCCCGACACTCTTCTGACAGAAGAATGTCGCGTAATGAAAGCAAACCAGAAACGATTGGAGAGCAACTCGGGCTTTCACATATCATCAAGTTCATTAAAACGAGCATTGAATTTCCTGCACATCAACAAGCCTTTGTTTTATACTTTTACACCGATCACGAGCTCATTTGTGTTTCGGAAATAGATCAATTAGCTACATAATGATGGCGGAATTTGTGAAGGAATTTGAAGATGAAGAAGAACGAAAAGAGCGAGCTATTAAATCACGAAAAAACACTCCAGAAGAAAGAAACAGACAGAGAAAAGAATGGAGAAAGAGGAAACAAGGGAAGCATATGCCGAATTCAACGAATAAAAATGTTGAACTACAATCACTCAACCGCGAAGCGAATGAGTTGGTGTCTTGTACTTCTGAGGCTAAGGAAACGAAACTGCCTCCTTCGGACCAACATTTTGAGCCACAAAATGTCAAGAAACCCCATATCCTCGCGCTTAAACCAGGCAGTGAAGAGATGAAAGAGGCCTTGGGTGGTTGTTCAAGAGCTGCTAAGATGATTCAAATGGCTGTTGGTGCCGACGCAGTTGTCTCGCAGAAACCTCGTGGGAAATGTCATCAAACCTTTTTAATTGGAAAAAAAAACCACAGCGAGCAATGGATCCAGATTTGAACCCAAAGAACTCAGGCCAGAAAACATTGAATTCTTGTCTAAAAATCCAGTTGGGAGTGGAAGCTTTGGACAGTGTTTTCTCGGGCGCTATCGAGGCTTCGACGTTATTGTCATGCAAATGACTCACAACGAAACGTCAGAGGATGAAGAACGAGCAAGGAGAGATTTGCTCCACGAAGCAAAGGTCGTTTCTGCTTTGGGGGACCATCCACATCTACCCATGATTTTTGGTGTTGTTACAAAGGCCTCACCATTATGCCTTGTGACTCAATTTCATGGTGTTCAGCATGAAAGTGTAACTCTCCATCAAGCGGCCGATAACAACGCAGTTACTAAAGCAAACTGTATTTCTATATTTAAAAAGATATGCACGTGCACTCTAAAGGATACCTTCATAACGACATCAAAGGAAACAATGTTGTACTAGAAGGGCGACCCTAAAAGCCGGAACGGCGGAATGGTGGAATGGTGGAATGGCGGAATGGCGGAATGGCGGAATGGTGGAATGGCGGAATGGCGGAATGGCGGAATGGCGGAATGGCGGAATGGCGGAATGGCGGAATGGCGGAATGGCGGAATGGCGGAATGGCGGAATGGCGGAATGGCGGAATGGCGGAATGGCGGAATGGCGGAATGGCGGAATGGCGGAATGGCGGAATGGCGGAATGGCGGAATGGCGGAATGGCGGAATGGCGGAATGGCGGAAAATGACCCCAAATCCTAAAGCACGGAACGGCGGAAAATGACCCCAAATCCTAAAGCACGGAACGGCGGAAAATGACCCCAAATCCTAAAGCACGCAACGGTGGAAAATGACCCCAAATCCTAAAGCACGGAACGGCGGAAAATGACCCCAAATCCTAAAACACGGAACGGATGCCAGGGCATGTTGCACAAATTTCGTACAAAGACACCAAGCGCTTAGCTCATTTATCCTCACGACGATAACGCGCGTGACTAAAATTAAGTGTTACTAATTTTTTTCTTTTACTGAGTGGTATAAATAATAATGAACCATTATGCATGAATGATAGCTGCGTTTTTGCGTTGTAAACCTGTTTAGCTACCTTTTGTTATGCAAAATTTGCCACCACTTTCCGCCGTTCCGTGCTTTAGGATTTGGGGTCATTTTCCGCCATTCCGCCATTCCGCCGTTCCGGCTTTTAGGGTCGCCCGTACTAGAACGGCCCTCAGCCTCTGGGGAATTCAGCCCAGTTCTTATTGACTTTGGAAAGAGCCTTAAGGTTTCATCTGTTACGTTGCACCGCAGAAACGGCACCGTTATGAAATGCAAAGTGAAAAGCTATTTAGCCCCTGAGGTTGTTAGTGAACGACTCTATGGCGTTGCCAGTGACATTTTTTCATTGGGAAGAATGCTTAAGGCGATATCGTCTTTGTTGGGTTTTTATGAAAGGGTCCGAGAATTTGTTGAAATGTCAACCAGAGATAAGCCGTCAGAGAGACCTAGCCTTTATGCTTTCTCTCGTAAGATTGCTGATGTTAAATTTTAGGTGTAGTATTTTCCAAGCCAGCAGACCTAATATCAGATAGAATCGCATCATTGCATAAAATCTCGCCTTCTGATTGGTTGACGAGGCGAGTTGTTTAGCGGGGCTAAGTGATATTGTTTCGCATCCACGTATACATAACAAATATAAGTAATGCTGTTTTCTTTTTATCTTGTTTTTATTCAAATATGTGATTCAAGGAAAATCCATTACTTGGCTCGTGAATTCCGCGTTAAATTGCACTTAAAAACCGATATCGCACTCATCGCTTCGCGTATCGCTTTTCGCGTGCAATTAAATGCGGAATTCCCTCGTCAAGTAATGAATCTTCCTACAATAGTTTCATTCAAGGTTTAGTTACTACAATTTCAGCGATTTTAAAATGAAGGACAACTTCTTCCCCATGATTCTGCCGCAAGAAATAGTTTATGACCCAGCTTACGTGAATAAGAACCTATTGACAACAGGATAATTGTAAATCATTTTTATCAGTTTATTACCCTTAACGTGTGAACTACATCCGATTTTGAGGGGACAAAACGGCTTTCTAATGACTGCTGGAAGGGTGAAAATATCTTTCTTAATTGGGTGTAATTCCGTGGCACATTCAGTTTCTTGGCGATCGCTGCCAAAAAGCTGTAATGTCGTCTCAAAATCGGAGCAATTTTGTCCGTTTATGGACAAAATAAGGCATAACAGTGCTGGTCAAAAATAAAATATTTCGTACCAAAAAGTATCATAGTAACATCTTTGTGTAATTGTTTTATTCCGCCACGTTATTGAAAGAAGGACATTTTCTGTCTTTTAAAAATTGCTCATTTAAATAAATATAACGCAAGAGGAGTAGCGGTACAAAAATAGTCAAGGTGCAATCGAATCGAAAAAAGCAGATCTAACGCAAGAAAAACAATAGTGGATAGTGAATAGTGACTTTTTGCGTGACTTGCACAACTTCTTGAAAAAGACATGTAGCTCATCCAACTTGCCTTGCCACTGAACAAGGCGAGGCTCCATGTCAGCTTTAATATCTGCAAAATAGCCAAAACCTGAAATAAGACCTGAGAAAGACTGTAATGAGAGGCCCTATATGTTATCACATCATTCAAATAACTGTTGCAAGTAAACATTTTGTTTTCCTTGGGTAAATATTTTTGAGGAATTAAAAACAAAAAGCTCCTTTTGACGTGGCTAAATATCATTTAGGCAAAGTTAAACTGGAGCAAAGCTGGTCAGTGGGTTCACACTAACCTTTAAGGTACCAGCTCCTAAGCTCATCATTAGCAATAAGTTTAATTATTTTAATATTTTCCAAACTCATTTTCCAAAATTTTTATAGTTCAGCATAAAACACTCAATAAAGTCATATTATAGTATGGTAAACCTTCTTTAGCCAGTGAGAAAAAATCAGAACTTGTAACCAAAGAAAAAACAAAGTGTTATTATTACTGTTGTTCTACAAACCTGAGCCTTCCAAATCAATTATCTCAGTATGTGTACCAAAATCTCTTACAAAAGTGCCCTTGCTTAAAGCTTCTGAAAAGTACTAAACATTTGGAAAAACGCATTAATTACATAACATTGTGCCCTCACACCAATTTCATTGTCTTAAAGAGAATGTCTGCATGTCTTTATGCTACTTAAAGGACAGCACTTTCAAGAAAAAACTGAACTGGGTTACAGTCACTCATTAGCAACACTAGGTTACACTGCACCCATGGATGTGCCACCTAAAATGCAGCCTATGTTAATTACCTTTAACTAAATAAGACACTGGGTTACACAGCACCCATGGGTGTGCCACCTAAAGTGCGGCCAAAGGAAGTTACCTTTACTAAATACAACACTGGGCTACACTGCACCCATGGGTATGCCACCTAACGTGCAGCCTATGTGAATTACCTTTAACTAAATAAAACATTAGGTTATACTGCACCCATGGGTGCGCCACCTAAAGTGCAGCCTATGTTAGTTACCGTTTACTAAAGAAAACACTGGGTTACACTGCACCTATGGGTGTGCCACCTAAAGTGCAGCCTATGTTTATTACCTTTAACTAAATTAAACACTAGGTTACACTGCACCCATGGATGTGCCACCTAAAGTGCAGCCTATGTTAGTTACCGTTTACTAAAGAAAACACTGGGTTACACTGCACCTATGGGTGTGCCACCTAAAGTGCAGCCTACAGTAGTTACCTTTAACTAAATAAAACACTGGGTTACACTGCACCCATGGGTGTGCCACCTAAAATGCAGCCTATGTTAGTTACCTTGAACTAAAGAAAACACTGGGTTACACTGCACCTATGGGTGTACCACCTAAATGCAGCCAAGTAAGTTTCCTTTAACTAAAGAAAACAATGGGTTACACTGCACCCATGGTTGTGCCACCTAAAGTGCAGCCTATGTTAGTTACCTTTCACTAAATAAGACACTGGTTTACACTGCACCCATGGGTGTGCCACCTAAAGTGCAGCCTATGTTAATTACCTTTAACTAAATAAAACACTAGGTTACACTGCACCCATGGGTGTGCCACCTAAAGTGCAGCCTATGTTAATTACCTTTAACTAAATAAAACACTAGGTTACACTGCACCCATGGGTGTGCCACCTTAAGTGCAGCCTATGTTAGTTACTGTTTACTAAAGAAAACACTGGGTTACACTGCACCTATGGGTGTGCCACCTAACATGCAGCCTATGTTAGTTACCTTTAACTAAATTAAACACTGGGTTACACTGCACCCATGGGTGTACCACCTAAAGTCCAGCCTATGTTAGTTACCTTGAACTAAATTAAACACTGTGTTACACTGCACCCATGGGTGTACCACCTAAAGTCCAGCCTATGTTAGTTACCTTGAACTAAATTAAACACTGGGTTACACTGCACCCATGGGTGTACCACCTAAAGTCCAGCCTATGTTAGTTACCTTTGAACTAAATTAAACACTAGGTTATACTGCACCCATGGGTGTGCCACCTAAAGTGCAGCCTATGTTAGTTACCGTTTACTAAAGAAAACACTGGGTTACACTGTGCCCATGGGTGTGCCACCTAAAGTGCAGCCTATGTTAATTACCTTTAACTAAATAAAACACTAGGTTACACTGCACCCATGGGTGTGCCACCTTAAGTGCAGCCTATGTTAGTTACTGTTTACTAAAGAAAACACTGGGTTACACTGCACCTATGGGTGTGCCACCTAACATGCAGCCTATGTTAGTTACCTTTAACTAAATTAAACACTGGGTTACACTGCACCCATGGGTGTACCACCTAAAGTCCAGCCTATGTTAGTTACCTTGAACTAAATTAAACACTGGGTTACACTGCACCTATGGATCTCTAACTATAGAAAATTCTGTGTTACTCTACACTTTAAGGTGTGTTAACTAACAGAATCAGACATGCTAAAATTAAACAATGGTTCACACTTCAATCCTGAGCTCACCTATATTCCTACATGCAGTAGCTTTCAGTTAATGGAGCTCCATTAATTTCAAGCTGCTGTGTGATGGAATTAGTCATAAGATGGGCAAATTACATAGGAGACTGTAGCAATTAAAGAAATACTCACAGAGGTATTTGATTCCTAAAGCGCACTCCGACGGATCGTCTGGACGCTGTATGAACTCAATGAATACACATTACCAATGATCTTGACTACACGATGTTAAATCAAGTTGCAAGTATAAAAATAATAGTTGCTTCTTACTAACATCAACACGAGCCTGGTAAAATGTAACTCTGTTAAGGATCAAATTTTTTGCCGTGTTCACATCTTCATACGGCTTCTTGAATTTATCCAGTGGTAGGGCAAGTTCTACAATTTCTTCAAGGTGTTGAAGGATTTCCTGATCTGTTGGACCTGAAACACAACAGCATGAGAGTAAATTAAAAAAGAAAAAAAAAGATTTTACCTAAGACCTATGGAAAACATCTCTTGAAAACATTATTTTAGGAAATGTCTTACCAGACATTGAACTGACATGGATATTCTGCTTTGTAATAGCAGACTGTTGATCTGACTTCTTCTTTACTGAGATGCAATCGCCATGAAATGACTCTGGGCCATAGTTTTTCAAGGCAGCATTGGCCTCTGCTAGGGAATCTACCCTGTATGCAAGAAGACCAATGGATGCCAACAACTGTTCAGTGTTGCGCATCTCCATATGGAGAGCACAAAGTTGAATGTTGCAAAGCTCTTCGTCCAAAAGAAAAACCAGATCATCTCGTATACCAGTTGATCTACAAGACAATTTCAAAGAATGATTGATTTTCTGAAGCAATGAATTATTTCATGTTTTTCTCTAAAAATGTTTTTCTTTTTCTTTTTCAATTACCAAACTATGAGTACTCCTTTCCTGACAGTATGAAAACAATTTTTGGCAACCTTCCAAGTTTGGCAAAAGATCCTGAATGAGGATTTTAGTTTACTAGCAACAATTTAAAAAAAAAACCCCAAACTATACACTTAATTTCAGTTCATGCTTTAGTACAAGTCATTTCCCCATGGCTTACAAAATTCATTTTGTTATGTAACAGTAAGAAAATCCCCTTTATGTGTTTGAATGTAATTTAATATGACAATGATCAAATGCCTACACACCTTCCCATGTTGCATTTGCTTCTGAGGCAATCCAGGCATGTCTCATCTGGAGCAACATCATGGCATTTGCAACCCTGACAAAAACAGGCACACTATCAAATAATATATAATATTATAATTTCAGATAGAACTACACATTTATCATGCTTCCGATTATCTTCTTCAGAGTTCATGCAGATTTTTGGATCCAAAATTCAAGACTTTTCCCAGACCTTTTTTCCAAAACATCAATTTATTTTTCCAGACTGAAGATGGTCAAATAGGTGATCAATAGAGATCTTGAAAAATGCAGAAACCAAGTTTCTTTCATGATGCACTGCAAATGTACAATAACCATGGTGCAATTGTGAAACTTCTCATTCTGTGATTGAATGTCTTAGCTACAGGCGAGATTGAATTGACCACAGGGGAAAAAAATGAACTTATTAAGCACTTTTTGTAGCTATAAAAAAAACTCCAGACTTGAACTATTTTTCTAGACATTATCTTCAATTTCAAGACTCTTTCCAGGTCTGGAAAATCAAGACTTTTCCAAGAATTTATGACTCTGTGTGAGCCCTGTTCTTTTTACAGTACATGTATTCATACTTTCAGTGATTTTTAAATGTTTTAAAAGCAGAATGACCTTTAGAGAAGTACTTTACAACTTTTTTGACTGAATTAAAGCTACTTGATGTTTCTATCACTCACTAATTATTTTCCCAAATATTGGCAAAGATCAAAGTCATCTGAAATCACTGTAAAAAAAGTTGATGAACTGATGCAGCACTTTTATGTACCTCAACTTTAACAGCACAAGTTGCAGTTGCCCCATACTAATTTCTATATCATTTGAGTACTTTACCCTGATAGCATTGCAGATGAAACAGAACTCAACACTGACACCTCTACCACCTAACATGAATGAAGCATTCATCTTCTTCACCAAAAGAAGTACCAAGGTCTTGTAGTCCAGTACAACTAAGTTTGATAACAGAAATGGGAAAGCAAAAGTTAACATGCTAAACTTTCCAGTAAATTAATCTCTAATGTATCTAAAGAAAAGGGTAGTCAAATCAATTTCTGACGTAAAATAGTAATAAATTCCAGGTTTTATTTCTTGCTGCTGCAGTTAAACCTTGAACATGTTTTACAATATAAAAAACTCTTAATTTACTATAGTTTGACTACTGCTTCAATCTAGTTCTAGTCAGACTACCAACTGGGTAGAAACACAATAAATTGCTATAAATAGTATCATGAACAAGAAGTTGACTTTTAAAGCAAATTCCAAGACTAACATTGATTCTTACCCAGAAATTCAACGGTGTAATGTCTACCATCAACTGTCATTCCTTTTTCCTTTAATATTTTCTTCTGGTGGTTGATGTCCTCAAAAAGAATCTTGAGGTTGTCTCTGTCAACAAACAAAAACCAAAAATCTATACAGTCATTATTATATTTAGTGCATTAAAGCCAAATTAGGGATATTGATATCAATCCACTTACCGGTAGATCTCAGAGTGGATGCATGACCTGGTGATATTGCAACTGAGTGGGGCTTACAAAAATCTGTCATTGTGTTATTTAAGTTAAATGCACATACAACCACAAGCATATTCTAGCCAGAAGGTAGTAAAGAGTTCAAGCAAGTTGCAATTCACAAACCTGTCTTCTTTACAGTTGGCAATTGTCAATGTGTAGACTGATTTTGCACTTTGCTGGCTATATACAGCACCATCACGGGGAACA